ATGTAGGGAGTACATCATCCTGTTGAGTTATACTCATAAACACAGGTCACTATGGTTCTGGGAGGCTCTGGGATTGCCCTGCAGAGAGCCAAATGTCATAACCTTGGACATACCATTTACTTCTCCCAGCTTTGGTCTGCTCATATATGAATAGGCTACTATTGTTATGTGTCACTATGATGACTAGATAAGTAATAGAGCCATGCTTGGTGTCAAAGGGCTCAGTGTTAGCTATTGTTATCATCATTGTCATTATTGTGTTGCCACACTGGCAGTGTGACATTATCCACATCTTAAGTGTTCACTGTTTGACAGATGAGACTAAGTTAGAAATTCCACCCACATGGTGAATTAATATCCTGAGTACTTTCACTAAGATTTGGGTTGGTAATCTTTGGTACTTTAGATGATGGGTGGTAGGCCCCAGAGGATCCTGAAAGCAAAAGTCTGTGATTTCCTAGTAGGAGATTTGTCTTCTTTTATATTTAGCCCTCCAGGGTTTAATGTCAAAGCTTTCAGTGTTGGACAAACCAAAGTCAGACTGCAGGAGAGGAGGTCTTGTTGACTTGAAATCCCTGTTCCCCTACACATGGGCTAACACACATGACTCAGACTGTGAATGAGACATGAATTGTCAAGGACCAAAAGGCAAAATGGAGGAAGAAGGAGGGGCTGGACTGGAAGAGATTTAGAATGAATAAGGAGAAATTTGAAATACAAAAGTTGATTCTAACAATGACATCAAAATGAGTGTTGAAATAGAACACACAGTTGTGCACCATTTTGAATATAACTAATGCCACTAAATCACACACTTAAAAATAGTTAAAATGAAAAAAAATGGTTAAAATGAAAATTTTTGTTATATAAATTTAGAATAAAAAATAAACTCATTAGCCAGGGCACAGTGGTGAACACCTGTAATCCCAGCAACTCGGGAGGCTGATGCAGGGGATCACAAGTTCACAACCAGCCTCAGCAACTTGGTGAGGCCCTAAGCAACTTAATGAGACCCTATCTATCTCAAAATAAAATATTAAAAAAATGGGCTGGGAATGTGGCTCAGTAGTTAATCACCCTGGGTACCAAAAAATGAGAAAGTAAACCCACAAACCCAAAAAACTGGACAGCTACAATGTATAATAATTTATAAACCATATTTTATTTCAGAAATATTTTATTATATGACAGATGTGCTTGTGTTGACGTAGTGATCATTGAGCACCTACTTGTACAGTGGTACATTATATATATCTTGATATGTAGCTATGTTGGGTTTTCTTGTGTATTTGTATTCAACTGGCACATCGTGACTGATGAAGGAATGATAATCATATCTGACTTGTGGAAAGAATACACTAATATTTATTGAATAGAAATAAAAGCAATGACCTGGCTTCAAAATTATTCAAAAAGCACCTTCTGCTTTAAAAATAGACAAACTGAAGCATGAGCCAAATCACATCAGCATTGCATGAAGTTCTGGTGCCTCTATCCCACCCAGGCCAATGCTGTTATTGACAGACTAATATTTGCCAGGTTGGTGGGCCTGGAGGTGTTCTCTCATTCTCTCAATCTGAGCACTGATTGGCCATTTGGATTCCTTTTTTCAGTGATGCACCTGTTCAGTCAAGTCTTTTGCCCATTTGGGGGATAGATGTTCTGTCTTTTTCTTACTTACTGTCAGTACTATTTATTGCAAGGGCTTGTAGAATTCTCATTCATTTAAGACTTAAGGAAACCTTAGTGTGATTGGCCAGTCTCCATGAGTGACAGCAAGAACACGGAGCCAATTCTTTACATGCCCTTTTTTTTTGGAAATGGTTTCAGAGAAAATCATTTAAGGACTTTTTCTCCAAACAAGTCACTCACTGTGGAGGCAAAACCAGGTCGGGGGGACTCAGCATTTCTTCCACATTCACTGAAAGTGTAACTTCAAGCACAAGGCCATTTTAAAATGGCAATAGAGGGACAACTGAATAGATCATTTGAGGAAAGAAGACATATTATTGAGGCCAACACATCCATTGGCACTTGTTAGCTCATCTCCAAAGAACAAAATACTGAGTAGCAAAGGCTTAAAGGGAATGAGACTGTATCCAGTTCCCAATAGAATGAAAAAGCTTTGGGCTCTGGCCAGAGAATAGATTTGGACCATAGATTTGACTTTTTTTCAGGGCCTTAAATTTAAATGACTAGAATTACTTTTAAAGTATCATCCTACTCAGTCTTTTGGAATAAAAACATGGTTTTCAATTTTACAAAAGTAAAAACGTCATCTAGCATAAAGATGCAAGACACCGTCGTTGATCTCACTTGTGTGGGCCAGAAAAGTGGATGGGGCATTCTAGTATTTACTCAGCCTGCAGGGAAGCTGCCTCTGTAGCCTCCTTAGACCTGCAACACATATGCACATAATACACACAGGAACACATCTATACAGACACAGTATATACACGGTATACATGCATACACGTGTGTACAAACATGCACATATACACAGAGGTGCATTACAAACACTGTATACACACATGCACATATACACAGAGACCCATTTCATACACAGGGTACATGGATACACATACAAACCAAGCACATAAATGCATAGAAACATATACACATACATGTGCATGTACATAGACATATCTAACACATGCATGCACCCACACACTGATAATTTGTGCCTGAAAAACTTGAGACAAATACATACATGGAGGAGTATAAAGGAATAGATCTGTCCTTCTAAAAAGACACTAAATATTGTATTGTGAAGCTTGTAAAGCCCCCATTTCTCAGTCAAGAAAGAAGGGACCGTGTTAGATTACTAGTTCATATAAATTATCTAGAAACTGAAGTCAGTTGCAAGTTTTAGGGGTGGAAAAAATAGAACTCAAGTTGTTGTTTATTTTTTAAATCTCATATCTAAAGAACAGATCGATTTATATCCAGATGCGAGCATTTAGAAGGAAAGTGTGTTGCTATGGCTCTCTCATCTTCTAAAATAAATAGGATGATATTAACAGTCAGTACTGATCTATGAAAAGATCCAGTCATCTGGGAAAGATCCTTCTTCCATAAGGGTATCATCAAAAGCCTGGCCCGGGTACCCGGTTCTTCAGGGTTCGATGGGTGTCAGTTACCCAGTTGGCTACTTAGGGATCCAGTCGGCCTGGGATCCCGTATTCCTAATCCATTTACCCTTAGACTTCCTGTCCTGAGCCCTGTGCCCACAGCTCCAAGTCTACATGGGGAGGTCATGCCTTGTGACTCAGGAGCCCTTTGCTGGCAAAGCCTCATTCCCCCAAGTACCTGGCCATGAGGAGGAAGCCATATCCCAGTGATCAGCAAGTGCTGCCAGTACGACCTGGTATTTAGGACCCTTTACTTCTGGGGACCCCTTGGATTACTATGTCATTCTTCTTGAATGTGCCTATGTGTCCAACCCTCTTCTCAGAATGAATACTTGTCTAGAACATTCCTTCATCTGCCGCTCAAAAATATTCCGCAGTTCCCCAGCCATGCCCAGGGGTGTGGGAATCCCCAAGGACACTGCTATTAGATTTTCAGCTCAGTTGGTATGACCGGCAACGTTTCCCAGAATTCTTTGGGTTCCCTCAGCACTTGCCCTCCACTTCTCAATTCAGATATTTTCCTAGACTCTCAAAAGAAGAAGGGGAAGTCTCCAGGAACCAAGGAGGACTTCAGCTCCTGGAGCACCCCCCTTACACTGGAAAAATGCTGCCACCTCCCTTTCCCCACAGGGGCCGACACACTGTGGGTAGCTGTCATGAGTGTCCCACACTAACAAAGATGGAAGAGCCCGAATCCTGCCCTAGTAACCCTTTCTTTCAAGAGAGGGTAGACTTCTGCAGCACAATTACCTATGCAGAGCTTCTGGCCACCTACCAACCAGTCAAACCCAGTGCTTAAAAGGAGCCTGTATCCAACAGGTAATGAAAGTTGGAGGTAGTCTCTGTAGTCTCTGAAATTCCATGATGTCACTTCAGTAACAACGTTTCTGGATTCTTGGAGGGCTTTTACTATTATTATCATCCTCTTTATTACCAATTCCAGATAAGTGAGGTCATTGTTGAATCATTGCATTCTGAATGAGAGATTGTGTAAATCCAAATTAAGCCACTAAACAGGCATTACATTGGACGCTGGTGTGTGTTTGTTGGGATGTTTTTCTGTGCACATAAGATGCTGAAATCACTGAAGCAAAACCCTGATGAAAGCTATTCACAATTTAGCCTTTACTATCATACAGGTATGTCAGCTCCATCTACCCAAGAGAATATCACAGGCATGTTCAATATAAAATGCAAATATAATAGCTTAGTGGATTGGCTATGTCAGGGGTGTTTGACTTAAACCTATTACCTTGGCAGATTAAATACAGTGACAGATCTTTCACAAGGCAGATATTCTGATCAAGTTACATCTTCTCTCAGTATTCATAGGTCATCGGTTCAGTTGGGTCTAAATAGAAAGAGGACAAGAATGGGTGAGGAATTGAGAAGGAGTAGGGCACAGCCACAGACAATCAGGAGGACCTGCCTGATACCTCCCAGACCATGCAGTACCCACTGAGACGTACTATGGTTTGCTCAAGCATGAGCTATTTGTAGCAGATATTGATTCTCTTGTGTGATGGAATAGGTGAGGGTCCACCAAGCCCTCCAGGCCTACCTGATCACTTCCAGGTCTTGATACCAACTCACCTGAACAGAGGTGGGCCCAGTCTGAGCTGTGACATTGGCTCTAACCCTGTTGCTTCTATACCCCTTCAGAGCATTTGGCTCTCTCATTTGACCCACACCCCAGACTCTGACCTCTGCTTTGCTGGCAAGACTCATTCTGCACATGAGTGGTCTTGCTAGGGCCGCTGTCCTTCTAGATAGAATTTCCTGCCTGAATGTTCCATGGTCCATCTCCCCATGGCACTGCCCACTTCTTACAAGGGCCCTTCCAGGACTGTCCTGTCCCTCCCTCCCACACACATAAACCTCCAACCTGATGAAAACATCCCTGGCGTCTTGGGACAGCCCACTTTAAGCCCGTACTCCACTCAGTGAGACAGGCTTGGTGGAAAATCACCAGCTTCATCCACTTTGTACAGCATGGTCTCTTGTCCCAATATGGCATGATCACTTATAAGCTTTGGAGCTTATATATCCAGTGGCTTTTCCAGGGAAGCATCTTACAAACTGCCACAGAGAACTGCAAAAATAATTGATCCCTTTTTTAAAAAAAGAGCATTCCTTCTGTGGCCTTTGTGATCCTTCTGGCTTTCATATGCTGTGAAAAGTATTGGCTCGTGGCTACGTATATGTAGAGCCAGGAAATATGAAGAAGTCACACTCAGAGTGGGTCCTACTCTGTGTCAGGTTCTAATCGGCTGACACTCTTAGCACAGAGACTTTTTGCCATAGTTGATGGTGACCCACAGAGTGACAGTTGCCATGCTACTAGGGTAGGGCTGGAGGTGGCAGACAGTTAATAGTTGGGGAAGGATCTGGAAGAAAAATCTAGATGCTCAGGACTTTGGCTGTCCTCTGGATCCTGCCCTGACTGGCTCTGTGATGCTGTAAAGGCCAAATCCTGCACAGCCAATTTTTCCTCTATAAAATAAGGAAGTTGACCTGGAGCAGGTCTCTTCACTTCCAGTTTTCCTAAATATGCATGACTCTGAAGTCAGATGGCTAGGTAGGAATCTGGAAAATTCTAATAATTACCAACTGCCATTTTCATAGAATATTCTCCTGGAGTTTAAACATATATTATGTAAGCATTTGACATCATTATCTCATTTAATCCTCACAGTCTTTCCAAGAAGTTGATACCATGGTTCATTTCACAGAAAAGGGAACAGTTTTTGTAGAGGTTGCCTGACTTTGTTGGGGTTGTGGCCTTAATAAACAACAGAGTAGAGATTTCAGTCCCGCTGGAACTAAACTGATTACACTTCTATGGAGACACATTAAATTTCCGAGCCTCTTTCTAGAACCCTCAGTGTCTGAATCCTGTCATTGCTGCCCCTCTGTCCACTCTACATTCCCAACCTACCCGCTTTCCTGACTCCTGAGACCCACGTGAAGAGCGCCTTTGGTTTGTACGAAAGGGTAGTGTCACGCTTTAGTTCTGCATCCATTCTTCACAACACGATGGGAATCAATAAGAAAACAGCACAAATGAATTTCTGAGCAGCTACTTGCAACATGAAATATAAGTGAAGATGTGACTCAAAGAAAGATTTAGCTCAAAAGAATAACTTTGTAAGACAATCAAGTATCTCCTCTGTGTCCAGCAAGTGCTTAACACAAGTCGTCTATAATTTTGCTGAGTCCACCTTTGAATCATAGATGCTGGGAGGCTTCTCGCAGTTTCCAATGAGGTCCAATTGATCTCCCAGCCTTTGCATCTCATCACCACAAACCAGTTTTGAAGGAAAAAAAATGCACCACCCCACCCCCAACATCAGACAACTTCTATTGAGCGCCAGTTACATAAAGACTTCTAAGGAAGTGAAGATGATCCCTCACCAGAAAGTAGAAGTTCTTTACAAATTAAAGAATAGGCTTCAAAGTCAGAATTGGCCTCTGAGCAAGGTCATTGTATTCTATTTGGAAATAAGCAAAAGCTCTACTGTTTAATCAATATATTTCTGGTGGTACAGTCAATGCTCAGGATTCACAGATTCTATGTTGGTGAATTTGCCTACTCCCTGAAGTTAAGCTGTGACTTCAAATCAGTGCTCGCCACACTCGTGGTTATTCATGGACATGTGCAGAGAAGTAAAAAGTTTGAGTCACCCAATTCCCAGCTGAGGTCGAATAAGGCCTTGCTCTGCCTTCTTGTTTCATTTCTCATTCTGTAAACAAGTGTTCTTTCCACAGGGCCACGTTTTTTCACATCGTGTGCTTTGTATTGTTGATGTCACTGTTTAAAATGCACCCCAAAGCATAAGGCTCTCTAGTGTCCCCAAGGGCAAGAAAGCTGAGATACACCTCACAAAGAAAACACATGCTTCAAGAGCTTCATTCAGGCATGCATTAGAGTGCTGTTGACTATGAGCTCAATGTTAATGAGGTAACAATATATATTTAATAAGGTGTTCTTAACCAGAAACACTCAAGGCTATGTATTGATCACTTGAAAGTGTCAGGAGTTCACAGGAACTAACCCTCTGGTTCTCCTAGGAACAGTGGCTCAGTATTCACTAATTCAATGTCTGTGGTGACTCTGTAGACTATAACTACAGCAAATGATCATATTTCCAAAGTTAGGAATTCCTAATAAGGTCTCGAGACTTTTGGGGGGATTGCCAGGGAGGTCTGGATGACTGATCGTATGCCACTTTCGGCTTTATTTTTCTGCTTTATGGAAGATGAGAACTTACAAAACCACACCTGTTCCTTGTGCGATGCCGAGCAGATTTTTCTCAGTGTTCAATTTACCGGGTACTAAGTGAGACCCCAGAATCCCCTGCTGCTGGAAGATACACAGAGAAGCGACCCCTGACCTCAAGAGCCTCCACCATTGTGACTATGACCCATCTTAAGGTAGCAAATGTACCCTGTCTAAAGGAAAGTGGAAACATGTTAGACTTGGCAGAGAGAGGCACGAGCTCCCTGAGGCATAACCTGAGGGAAACAGGCCATTTTTCTAATAGTAACCTTGAACTGTTAATTTTGTGTTTCCTCCCGGGAACTCCGCAAAGGAAGTCCAGCTTTAGCCAGAGCTTCTAATTAACTCTAAAGTTTCTACCGCATCAGCAGACACCTAGGGACCACCCTCGTGCTTGTCTCTCTCCGGACAGAAGTCAAAAAACTGCTGTAGGTGAGAACTGCACCATAGGAAATCCCATTTTCTCTATGGGAAATGGTTGTCATATTTTCTTCACCCTGATTGTTTTGGAGACCTTGTGATCTTACAGCTGAAAAAATAGTATTTATGATACTCAAAATAGAAATAGTAACGTTAATTTATTAAGCATCCAATTTACGTCAGGACCTGCGCTTAGTGCTGGGAACAAAGGATAAAAGGCACCAGTCTGCCTCTAAGTATCTCGTGATCCAACTAGAAAACTCAGTTATTGTAAAAGTGGGATAAAAGCCATGGAAGAGGGACCCTGGGGTAGGGAGCCGGGGGCAGCACATAACTCAGTGGAGGCTTAAAGGGGGATGGTATGCTTCTTGCTGGAACAGTCCCAAAGGGTTAGCCAAGTGAGGCAAATAGAATTGACCATTCTGGAAAGCAAGATCCACATATAAAACCTTAGAGGCATGAAGGAGTTCAGGGCATCCCACAACATGGGGCCCAGAGTTGGAAGAGTCCCAAGAGAGAGGCAGGAGGAGAGGCAAGACCCAGATCCAGAGGAGCCTTGCAGGCCTCGTGGGAAGGAGGACCTTCACTGAAGGACCTCACAGAAGCCAACAGATCACCACATTTGCACTCTCTGCGGACCAGTTAAATTGAGGGACGGGCATGTTGAGGAGGAAGACAGCAGTCAAGCTATTGGGAAAGCCACTGAGGAAATAAACTAAGAAAGAAATAGGAAGACAGTTCAAGTTCCATGGACCCATCCCAAGGAGGAGAAAGCAGGTCGCCCACTACCTGTGGTTGAGTTCAGGAGAGTGGTTTGGGCTGGAGATGGTAAGCTGATGGCTGATTTCTAGCCAATGGTTTACATTGCAAAAAGCAAAGAACAGAAAGCTACAGAAACCCTGACCAGGAACATTAGTATTTAAAGGATGGAGGTTGGGGGGGGGGGACAAAGATCTGAGATGAAGCATGCGGGGAAATTACCAGAAATGAAGGATGAAGACAATTGTGCCAGATTCAACAGAGGGGAAGTTTCATAGAGGAGGGAGCCATCACCAGAATTCAATGATGCAGGGAAGGAAGGTGCCATTTCATGGGCCACTGGTGGGAGTGGGAATGGGTTGCCTTGGGTAGAGAGATAAATTGGGAAAAGAAGTAAATGCAGAGCAGTTTTTTGGTAAACTTGACTCTCAAAGGAAGGAAGAAGATAGGTGCAAATGAAGGGGATTTTTCCAATTGCCAGTCATAACCCCGCAGCGGTGCTTAACTGCTGATAGGATTCAGGGAGTATTTGTAAATTGCACAAATGACACAGGCTGCCTGATGAAAACCTCCTAGTGAGGAAGGGAGGGGGCAGGAGGGAGAGCCAAGGAAGCTCTGGGTCAGGAGTTCTAAAGAGGACATCTTTTATGAAGACGTATGGGGAATAATTAAATGGAATCAGATTAAAACCTGGTTTACCCAGGACTGTCTCTTTCTAGCTTTTAACCTTAGGCAAGTTCTCTCTTGGAGCCTGAGTACTCTCGTCTGTAAAAATCAGCCAAATCCTATCTGTCTCACCAGTATCACTGGCCATAGTGAGAATTAAACAGGACGATACGTGTGAAGAACACCTTGGAAATTGGAAAGCCTGGTACGGTTGTGAGATGTCGTCGTGGGAGAAGAGGGGCCTTCTTGCTGCCCTTTGCCATCTGCCGTAGTGTCTTTTTCTGTTGAAGTCACTTCAGGCACCATGGAATAACTTTCTTCCAAACTGCAGGTGGATCTCTCTCTTCTGGGGATTTCTATCTTTTTTTAAAATTTTTCTTACCCACTTGAGAGGGAGAGTTCTGTGGATACATAAGAAGGTATTTTTTAAATTTAAAAAAAAAAGAAAGTTAAAATAGCCCTAATTGCTAATCATTTTAAAAATTGTTGGAGAGATGCATGAAAAAAAAAAAAAAACAGGCAAACCACATTGCTTTATAGACATTTAATCTTCCCAGTTCTGACCCTGGGGAAATAAATCTTTTTGGAGGTCACTACCTTAGAGGAAGGTGACGTTACACCATCCTACTAACCGGGAAGGCAGTCTATATGGAAATCCATCCCCCGCCTCTTCATTGTTTTAAATCAGTCTTCCCTTCTACTCCAAAACACACTCTTCCATGATTTTTGTCAGTCATTGATATTATCTACGTTTTTTAATGAATACAAAGTAAAAGTACCTGTGCTAGATATTTTGGACTAAAGCAAAGACTGCAAACCGCTACACTGTGGGCCAAGACTATCTTTGCGAATGTATTTTATTTAACATTAGATGGTTTTTAAATTGGTCTGTTTTATAGTTAAGCATGCCAGCGTCCACCTCTGGGAACCTCAGAAGGTCAGGTAACACCAGCAGGGCTTTCGTCCCCCAGCAGGTGGCTAGTGCTCTCGGGTCACTCCAAACCCCAGTCCACCATGTTGCTTCCTCAGGCTGTTGTCCACAGGTCCCTGGAGATTTCAGCGTATGTAACCCCTCCTATCAAACCAAACCAAGAAAGTGCAGTGGAAGAGAAGACGTTTGTTTCTGAGGTTCAAGTGGTTAAAATAAAGAAGGAAGTAAACTTTCACCCTCCTAATACTTGGGGTGAAGTGTCTGATTGTCAACTCTTAGCATCCTATCTACTTTAGTCTGGGGCTCCACAGAAGTAAAAGTCAAATCTTTTGTGTGCTTCCTCATATGACAGAGATTAAAACCAAAGCAACTACTGCCTTTACAGAAGGCCCAATGCATAATCCAAAAGAAAAATATATATATATATTAGTTCAAAAATAAAAGGCCATTTACCAAAAGATTCTAGAATGCTCTTCCTACCCTTACAAGGGCAAGAAACTTTGATCACCTGTGCCTGAATGGAAAGACATCTGGTAGACCACACTTCTCTTTCAGAGTTAGGAAAATAAAGCTTGTTCTAGGTTTATTAACACAGACATACTGGTCATGGCTGGGCTGTGCTACATAGAAGAAGTATTCCAAGCAGTGCGTTCTTTGGCTCCCGTCAAGTGGCCTGTTGTCTGTGGAATTTCCTATTCTCCAGCCCCAGAACAGAAAGCAGCCCTGCCACCCCCCCAGCATTGGCCGTCATGAGGTTTAAAGAGGATCATTTGTTTTCATTACAGCCCCTTGAAGCCCTTCCTTCCCTCCTCATTAATGAATTTCCAGTCTTTCATCAAAAAACAAAAACAAAAAAACAAACACAAAAAAGGACCTGGCAGAGGACATAGTTAAGTGGCTGGCGTGCATGGCTGTGCCGGCTTTAGAGAGAGGAGACAGCCATTTACTGATTGCGAGGAGGGGTTGATGTCCTTGGTTAGTATGCTAATTTCGTCTCCTGCATTTAACATTCAGATCAGGTCTATGCAGGCCCTCCAGAGCCGCAGAGTCCAGGGATGGGTGGCTGTCTGCCTTGCAGCACTGAACATGCTCTGCATGAATTACATAAAAACCCAAACATTCAGCCTTCTCTGACTTCACTCTTTCCCTCCCTCTCAGAGAGACATGCAGACACAGAGCCGCATACACGCCACATGATGCCCACACACGCCCACACACTGATGCCACGGGTCTCCATGAAGATACGCGATATAAGGTACCCGAATCATCCACAACTGGCTTAATTCCACCTCCTCTGGGTTTCCAAGGCTCACTTCTGCAGGATGTATTTCTCCTGCTTGGGAAACTTGGAATGCATTGGGGAGTTCAAAATAAGGAAGCAACATGAAGATATAAAAACAAACAAACAAAAAAACATTTACAAGGAGGATATCTTATCTATTTGAACTCCCAGTTCCAGAAATCCTTAAAAAAAAAAAAAAACACCCAACTCCACTCATGGGAAAGAGAACCATATAGCTCAATTAACCAAACACCCAGAAAGAAGGAAAATCAGCTCACTTTATTCCGTGGGGTCCCCACTTTGTCATGTGTGTTTGAACACTATATTAAAAGAGTCTTATTCATGGTTGGTTTTGAACTCACCAAGCCACAGCTGGGTGACAACAGAAGAGGAATCCCAAAATTGCTCCCACATGGCAGTCCAAATGGCAAAAGATGATCACCTGGCATTTTTGCCAAAAGCCCAGCCAATGGAAAACTGAATTTCCTCAACCTCCTTCCTCCAGGACATTTCTGTAACCTTGCGGCAGCTTCCTGGAAACAAACAGAATCAGCGGCTCCTAGCATCAGAAGGCATATTGAGGGGGTTGCTTTTAATAAACTGAAGCAATTTTGAGCAAGCAGAAGGCTCCAATTAGAAGGAGAGGACAGGTTGGTTTTTATTGTGTTGTTTTTTGGTTTGGGATATTTTTTTCTCAATGTATGAGATGACCATGTATCCTGGCATGCCGTAGCTCCTTCCTCCGGACACTCTGGTGGCCCTGGGTCACGTCCTCTTGTGTGTCTGCACTATATTCCATGTTCAGCTGGGGAACTCCAGGCAATCCCTGCCGAGCCTCCCATCTCCAAGCTACAGACTTGATTTGCCTCTTTTTTTTTTTTTTTTTTTTTTTTTTGGCTCTGGTCCAAGATGTTTTCCTGTCATCATTTCACTGTCTTTTCCAGTAATCCCTTTTTTAAACATTGCCAACAATTAGTCGATTTATCTCCATCACCAACCACCACCTCCCACCCCCAGATCCACCGCACACACACACACTCCACTGAGCCCCCATCACTGTCTTATTTTTGCCTTGAAGTATAAGAAATTACAGCTTCTCATTAGCTGGAGAGCACGTTTGGAACGGCTTTGTGTTTACTCACTTAGTAAGTGATGCTGGCCTTTTTAATTATTCTCCCTCTGCGTGCCATCGGAGAGCAGCAAGCTGTTCAAGCCAAACCCAAGGACGGCACATCCTCCTCGGCGAGGCAGGTGGAAGGCATCACCGTGCGCTGCACCTCACCGCTGCTGCAGTTCTGCTTTGCCTGTCAGCAAGCCAAGGAATCCCCCCAAAGCTCTTACGTAGGAGATACCAAAACTGTGAGTCACTTTTCACTCCCAGAGCCGAGGAAGTCCACTGCCATCTGTGCGTCACAGCAGACCCAACATGGGGGTTTCCTCCAAGCCATCGAGATCCCCAGGACCAGACCGTCCGGCCCTGGCTTCCTTCCTCTTGCTGTTGCGCCCCTCTTTCTCTTCCACTCTGGCCCAACCCTTCGTTTTGAAGTCCTCTTCTCTCTTCTTCTCCCTCTCGGTGTTGCCGACAGCCGCAGACCCAGCAAGAGCTGGGTCCCTGTCGCCTTCTGTTATTTTATTTTTTTTTTTTTCCCCTGCAGCAGCCTTTGGCTGCTACCTCTGCAAGCTGGATCACCAAAGACACACGACTCACTCACAATGAATAATCAATACGGATATTGATCTGGGGAAAATGTTTGTAAATTCCTGAAAGGGGATCAGGAGCAGGGGGCCAGGGAGGCTCGTGGGGGACGACGCTGCCCTGCTCATCGGCGGTCGGAAGCAGAACCGCCTTTGGATCCCCAAGTTGGGCTGGCTCCGAGGCGACGGGTGCCGGAATGCGTGCGGACGAGGGTGTGCGCGCGTTAGGAGGGTGTTCAGTATTCTCATTTCTCTACAGCTGCTTTCCCCGAAGAATCAAGAGCCAAATGGTCGGGAGCCCCTGTCAGCGCCATGTCTTGGCTGCGGGCCAGCGCTGTTTTGTTTTCATTATCACACGCTACTTTGCAATTTGCATAAATACAGGGTTATTTTTTATCGTGTCGCCCAAAAGATAGAAAAAAAAAATAGAGTCTTTGTTGTGTGCAAGAGGGGCTTGCCGCCTACTCATCGAAGCTAAGGATTTACCTCCGAGGCAGGGCTTTGGGAGTCTATGTAGAGGGCTTGGGAAGAAATATGGGCAAAGAAGTGGTAATCACAGGGGAAAAAGAATACAGGAGAGAAAAAGTAGAATTTAATAAGAACTGCAGGGCACTCAGCTCGGTAAAACCAAATTTAGGGACCCACTTTCCCCTGCGGAGAAGACTTAAGCAACAGTCCCAGTGTCCTGGTCAGCCGGAATGCATGCATTCAACTGGAAGGAACCATTGATCCTTGGTGGGAAAGGTTTGCAAGATGAACACACACTTGCTCTATCCCAACCCCATCCAAAATGTGGAACAAGTGGACACAAATGGAACATTCCTGTCAGGGGCTCTGTCCTGCTGGTTTTCTGCCAGGGTGAGAGATTTCACACCTGGGCTTCTCCCTTACCTCCCCTTGGCATGAGCCGGTCCCCTGAGCTCCCTGCTCTGCATTTGCCCAAGTACCCTATGGGATTTGCATCCTCCCCTTAGCCTTCTGTCTTCAGGGGAGTGGAAGCAAGAATGTGATATAAGCTAAGTGACAAGCCACAGATGGCTTTCTCCTGCAAGCTCTTCTTGTCTGTGGAGAGGAGGCCTCGGAGTCCAGAGTGACATCGGGCATGCACACATGTCCCAGGGAGCAGTACTTCACATTAGAAAAACTCTCCAGTCCTCTTGGCCGTTGGATGGTGAGCACCTTCCCCACCTTGGCCTGTGCTCCCTTCATCTCTCCCTACTCACTGTGTTTTTACAATTGGGCAATAAAAATCTCTTTGGGATCCCTCTCTCCTCTCTCCCATCACCCTATCTATCTCCTCCTGGCCTAGTGACAGAAGGGATGTGTCACCTTTGAGATAGCTATCTAGAGTAAGACCTCCACATGAGGATTCAATTCCAACACCCCCTGGTCTGAAAGGAGCTGTCCGCTTTATCAGCCGGCAGCAGCAGCAGCAGCAGCAGCAGCCGCAGAAGCAGTGATGTTTTTTTTTTTTTTTTTATTCCCTTTCTGGCTTCTGATTAGCTCCAGCAATCCAATTAACAGAGGAATTTATATCACACGGACTGAGGTGCCTCTACTCATCACCGCAGCTCAAACCCACTCATAAATTCTGCCGATACTACATCTTCCTGTGACATGGATTAATTACAGCACCAGTCTTTCCCAAGTAGGTCTACCAGCAAAGGTATATATGAATATCAGAAATAAAGAGGCTAAAAGGGATGTTTTCTTGTGTATTATCAAGGATGAAGAAAGGCTGCCCAGGGAAGTCACTTTCGTCCTCCATCTCTGCATCCGCCTATTGTTCTCTGAGGTGTCAGAGGCCAGATGGGCCAGAATTAAGTATTATGGAGAATTCAGAAGTGGTCTAGTCATGGCACACCCATGTATATTTTCACATCTTTGAAGCATTTAACTTGAAACTTCAGGGCCCTCAAGACCAACTAATTTCCTGCCTCCAGTCCATGTGCCCCCAAAATAGTTAAACGGTTTTAAGATCTCCATGAAGAGAAATGCCATTATCCTCATTGGTATTCCACTGCAGTTGGGTACAATCATGATATTGTTGTACCCTTTCATCTATCTACAATTTCATTCCAAATTTACCCTCACATTCATCAATCTCCAGCATCTATCCATCCATTCATCGAGCTATATTCATTTATATATCAACTATTTATTCTGCTTCCAGTCATCTATTCATCCATGTGCATCTCACTATCCATTTTCAAACCATATATTGATCTATGAATATCTTTCTATTATCTGTCATCTACTTGTCTATCCATTTGTGTCTCTATTAATTCATTCATCTGTATTATCCATCTGTTTTTCTGTCTATTCATTAATCTATTCATGTATCTATCCATTCAATCATCTGTCATTTGCTTACCAGTTACCAATCCCTTTTTATTTTGTGCCTTTGGTGAACGATGATCTCAACAGAACTCCAGATTCACATTCTCAATCCATTTTTTAAGATAAATAATGCCCAATTTCCAAATGAACTCTGTAAATGCGAAATACTTGGCTATTTGTTCTCTGGTTTAAAAGACTAAAGAGTGAGGTCAGTAACAGCATACGATTTTAAATGAGTTAAAAAATTACAAGGAAAATATTTTATCCTCAATTCCTGGAGCTCTTTCCTTGCTTAATAAAAGCATACATTGCTGTTCCTCTTTAAACCATGCCTTTAGACAGGGGGAAATTTAGATAATGTCTACACATGAATCTCATTCAGTCTGTTATATCTACCACTGAAAAGACTTCATGCAAATGACTTAGTTCAACCAGTACTAATTTGAGATTACTTTTATCATAAAGCAAAACAGATATCAACCCAAAAATGGGATTGTGGTTATACACATTTGGATTTCCCCTATATCCAGGAAAGGAATCGAGGAGCAATTTGAGAACTAAAAATGGATTTTTCCCCATTATTTTTACTCAAAATATATTCAAGTCTGGGCCAAAGCTTGAGATTCAGTACCTTCTGAGAGTGATCTCTAGTTTTCTTTTTAGCTCCCAAGAAAATAGGTCAAGGAAAGCATCACTGGCTTGATGAAGAGTTGAATGAATGAATCTCACTTCTGTTTAATCAGAAACCCCGGCTGCTCACTGTGAGGGAGGAGGATGAGGTTGTATGGTTGGGCTTCTCCTGCATGTGCAGGGAATCATTTCCCAAACAGCAACCAAGTCGGAATCCTAATTGAGCAACAGATCTTGTATCTGACAACACTCACCATCTCTAATATTCTGTTAGTTTGTAGGTGGTATTATCAGCTGAGGATCCAAGTTTGTTAACAAAAAAGATTTATCCATGGATTCAACCAACGACAGATTAAAAATATCCCCTTCACAAAAAATTTCATCTATACTGAATGGGGACAGACTGCTGGTCGTTATTCTCTAAACAATACAGTGTCATTAGTATTTATACAGCTTTCACATTGAATTAGGTATTTTAAATAACCTAGAGATGATTTAAAGTCTACAGGAGTATTCATGTAAGTTATATGCAAAGAACTACACCATCATACATAAGCAACTTGAGCATCCTCAGATTTTGGTATCCAGGGAGGTCCCAGAACAAAGACCCTGTGGATACCCAGGGAAGACTGTGTATTGAAGACCATTTCATATCTGGAGTTGTCATCCCAGGGGAGCATGAAGGGACCCAGTCCATGTTGTCCTCCAGAAATATAAAGGCGACAGAAATCCCCTGGTTCCTTTTCTTGTGTTATTTCCATTCATGGTTTTCTGGATTCTGTTGTAATAGAAAATTAGACCCTAGCTCTGACTTTGCTCATCATGCTAACCAGGGCTGAATTCTCCAGAAGGGACAGTAGACTTGATACCTAGGGCCCCACCACTGTTAGTGGCCCAGGAAAGTTCTTAAATTTCTTTTAAACTCATTTTTTAAAAACAAATTTTTAAGGTCAAAGAAAATATTTAAACCTAGAAGAGTAACACTGCTATTAAATAGCATTCACATTCACCTTTATACTAATTGTTATAAAATATGACTCAATCATTTTCTTAGGAAGGAAGAGGTCCTTTTGGGAAAAAGCACAGAGGGCCCATGAAAGGCATTTATAATGTGACTCTTGTCATTAACCAGACTACCTATAACTTAATGGTTAGGCTCAAAAGACTCTGGTGGTTAGGGATCTTTTCAGGAGCTAGACTGCCTGGGTTCAAATCCCTAATGCTACTACTTGCCTGTCACCAAACTTCTCTGATTCTCACTTTCTTTAGCTGTAAACTGTAGATGATAACAGTGACTAATGCACATAGATGTTATGAAATTATATGAATAAATTTCTCAACACAGAGCCTACACATAAAGAGTGCTTGATAAAATTTTGTTTTATTAATTGTTACGGTTTTAGCTTTGGTGTCTTGTGATGCCTACCTCTCTGTAACCCAGTATCATGCCTAAATTGATTATTTTCATTTAAAAGAAAAATGTTAGAATATCTTCTAGCCACCATGGAAGGAAGGGCAGCAATTAAAGTTTCCTCCTTAGTCTGGAAGTCAGAAAATTTTCTCTCCTAGAAGCAGTAGATTTTGTACTTTCCACCTGGAGCTCAGTCTTTATTCCATATTATAAAACCCCTTTAATAAATCAGCATCATCTCTCCTGATCGGAGATTTGATTCTTTCCTAACCTAAAACAATCCTTGCAAAAATCTTATTAAGAACCACAGGTTAAAAAGGATATTGTCAAAACTTTCTCTCTCCTTTTCTCTCTTTACTTTATTATCTCCTCATTTTTTTTGTCATTTAACTCCAATTATGAGATGCTAAGTGCTTTTGGAAATTTCATTGTTAATATCTTCTTACAGTGCTATTAACGTAAATCAAGTTTAATAGTGTCCCAGCAAGTGTAAAAGCAATCAAAAATTCAGTACTCACGAATCATTCTGTAATTTCAGCATAAAATGTTAATAGAAATAATATCTAATACCATAAAATATCAGTAAATCCAACTTTAAATATAGGTGATGAATTACTTCACTATCCTATAGCATTTGTGGAACATTCTGGTGTGAAGTACTTAATTGGCTGAGCCATACCTCAGTCATGCCCAGACCGCCAGAAGTCCCCTCCTCTGCCTCAATCCAACCGGCCAATCACAGCAGAATGAATCACTAATGAAAGGCATTTCTTCATCCCAAACACTCTGAGTTACTCGGCAATCAAGAAAAATGACTGAGGATCAAGGTAGGAAGTGCAGTCAACCTGAAGGAATTCAAGTAAATGCAAAACTAAGACACTGTGGTTCAATTCTAAGAACACTGATTAGTGGCTGCAAGGCCTTGTTCTCTGTGTCCCCAGCAAAGGTGGCTCTGTCCTTGGGGAGCTCACATCTCATGAGACAGGCCAAGTCCAAGACACGTCCAGCTAATGCTATTTCAGGCCCAGCAGTGAAAACAGCATATTACATGTGCCTATAAAAAGCCTGTAATAGGTCATTAGTTGGCCACTTAACTTTATAAGTTCATTAAAGTTGGGGCATTTATTTTTTTAATTTTTTTAAGCATTTTAACTTAAAACAGCATACATACATTTACTCACTGATCCTCTGTGGAAGGACAAAGTGAGTTCTTTTGAGTGATCTGCTTAGGGTTCCATGCCATCTTACAGCCACCAAGTGGCTTGCCCACAGTTTCCAGACTCTGTTTCTTTGAGGCAAAGTGTACTCCAGAAGCCAGCAGAGAACAGAATCCTTCAGTTGCAGTTGTCCTACTTACACGGAAACATTTAGTGACTCACTTGAGTCCACAGAGTTGATGTAGCTGTCACAGAAATGCCTGTGTTTACACTCAGGTATCCCCTGGTCATATTTTATTTCATTAAGCCATGAATTTCACTAACAAGAATCACTTCCATAAAGAGGTTTGGGGATGAACACACCTTGTTCCTAAGAAGGATCCAGCTCAGATAGTGAACTGTTCATGGGCTTTAGGTCGGAGGTGATTATCTGGGTTGAGTGCAGTCAGCTTCTCTCAGGACTTCCGAAGGGAATGGAGAGTGACTATAAGTACAGATAGTTGAACTGGATGTTGTGTTAAGGATCCAGAAACAAAAAAAATGCCATGTTGAGTCAGAATAAGAACCCACAGGGGCCAGTATTCAGCTTGTGCTCCGATCCTACCATGCAGAACAGAGTGGGTCCTGATATCGGGGATCTAGTAAATACCTTGAACACCACTGATCCCAGCTTATTGCGATTCCAACCTCTAGACATGTATTCAAATCTTTTTAATACACTGTGGTGGCTAAATCCACCTTTTTAAGAAGACTTTATTTTATTTTTTTTTTAGACCAGCTTTAGGTTCACAGCAAAATCGAGCAGATGATACAGAGAATTCCTATATATCCTCTGTCCCCACATGTCCATAGATTCCCCCATTGTCACCATCCCATGCCAGAGTATGTACATTTCTTATGATTGATGAGCCAATATTGACATATCAATATCACCCAAAGACTGTAGTTTTGTGCGGGTTTTCATGTGGACAGGTGTGCGGGTTTTCATGTGGACATGTTTTCTACTCATTTGAGCAAACACCAAGGAGTATGACTTCTGGGTTGTGTGGAAAAATAAAGTTAGATTTTTTTAAGAAACTGTCCAACTGTTTTCCAAAATGGCTCACCACTTTGTGTTTCCTACCTGAAGTGAATGAGCACTCCTGTTGCCCACATCCTCAACAACATTTCATTTGATTTTAGATAGCAGTCTGGATTTTGGCCACTCTTATGGGTATATAGTGGAAACCCACTGATGTTTTAATTTGTGTTTCCATAATAACATATGAAGTGAAGCATCTTCTCATATACATATTTTCCATCTGCATATCTTCTTTGGTTAGGTGTCTGTTAAGATCTTTGGTACATTTCATATTTAGATTGTTTGCTTTTTTCCCCCAAGTTTTAAGAACCCTTTATATATTTTGTATAACAAGTCTTTATCAGTTACATCTTTTGCAAATATCTTCTCCCAGTTTGTGGCTTGTCTTTTCATCCTCTTGACAATGTCTTTCACAGATAAGATTTTTTTTTATTTTAACCAAGTTCAGCTTATCAATTCTTTTGCTTATGGAACATGACTTTCAGGTTATATCTAAAATGTCACCACCAACCCCAAGGTTATCTAGGTTTTCTCCTATTATCTTCTTAGAACTTTATAACTTGTGTTTTACAGTTAGGACTGTGATACATTTTGAGTTAATTGTTGTGAAGAATATAAGGTCCATGTGTAGATTCATATTTTCATTAAATGTCCAGTTGTTCTACCACTATTTTTTGAAGAGACTACATTTTTTCCACCATGGTGTCTTTGCTTCTTTATGTGTATATATTGCTGTGCTATCTGTTCTGTTCAACCTATCCATTTGTCAACCTTTTCATTAGTACTATACTGTCTTGATTAATCTAGCTTTATAGTAAGTCTTGAAGTCAGGTAGTGTCCATCCTCCAACTTTGTTCTTCTATTTCAATATTATATTTACTATTCAGAGTCCTTTGTAACTCCATATAAATCTTGCAGTAAGTTTTCCAATAACCGCAAAATATATTGCTGGAATTTTGTTTGAGATTTCACTGAATCTATAAATCAAGATGGAAAGAACTGTTGTCTTAACGATACCGAGCTTTCCTATCCATGAACATGGAATATATCTCCATTTATTTAGATCTTCTTTGATTTCTTTCATCAAAGTTTTCTCATATAGCTCCTGTACATATTTTGTTAGATTTCTACCTATGCATTTCATTTTTTGTGGTGCTAATGTAAATAGTATTGTGTTTTTAATTTCAAATTCAAGTTATTCATTGCTGGTATATTGGAAAGTGATTGACTCTTGTATAGTACCCTTGTATCCTGCAGCCTTGCTGTGATCACTTATTAGTTCTAGTTAGTTTTTTGCTGGTTCTTTTGTACTGTTTACGTAGATAATTATGTCATCTGTGAACAACAAATCTTTTGATATAAGAAAAAGCAGTAATACACTAAATCCAAGCACTTTACATATGTAATTTTGCCTTATTGATCTTGGCATATGACATAGATGTGAGGAGAGATTATTCACACCTAATAAGCCTCTTATTCATCTTTGGGAAATAATTATAAACAATAGTGATTACTTCAAGGTTAATAGTGTTACAAAAATATGAGAAAAAGAGGTAAGAGTCTTCTGAAAAACAATTAAGAGATATGTAAAAAATAAACTTTATCACTGGGTTATTGAAAATGGGGAAATTTTTTAAATAACATAAATATCCAATAACAGGAAATATACTAAATAAAATGTGGCATATTCATGTAACAATTTACTGTGCAATCTTTATGCTGTGAAGTGATACCTAAAAACATGTAAAGTATATATAATACATTGATTAACAAATTTTGAAAACAAGCTAAATAGTATATATAGGAAATCTCAATTTTATTTTTAAATCTAAATATTTGCATCTTTTAAAAATAAAATGACTGGGCACAGTGGTGCGTGCCTGTAATCCTAGTGATTTGGGAGGCTAAGGCAGGAGGACCACAAGTTAGAAGGCAGCCTCAGCAACTTAATGAGACCCTAAGCAACTTAGTGAGACCATATTTCAAAATGCAAAATATAAAAGGCTGGGGATGTGGCTCAGTGCCTTTGAATTCTGTCCCTATTGTGTGTGTGTGTGTATGTGTGTGTGTGTGTATTTATAACAAATAAATAATATATAGTATACTCATATGTAAATAATCTATGAAAATAAAAGATATGCTTATGCATAAAGGTGTTTAAAATATATATACCAAAATTGTAACTATGAAGAGAGATCTTACAATATTTTTTTAATTTCTCTTTTTTATTTTTTGCCTTTTCCAAATTTTCTACAATTGGGAACACATTTCTTTGTAAGCAGAAAAAATGCATATAAATATATAAATATATATTTTTATAAGTATAAATATATATGTATATATACATATATATATATATATTGATTTGATTTTAAAAGAAAAAAATGGTAGAAAATACCTGTAAAAGTTACCATTTTAAAGTGTCTAATTCAGTGGCATTAAGAACATTCACAGTGTTGTGCTACTATCACTGTCTAAATCCAGAGTATATGTGTGTGTGTCTGTGTGTGTCTCACACACACACATACATATACATATATATACATTTACAAAGCATGATACAGAAGCCCAGTGTATAGAATTGCTTTTATTTAGTGCAATCATAATAGGCTACCAATTTTGTAATTCTAGAAGGATATTTATGTAGTAAACCCTGTTTGCCATTATGATCATGGCCATAGATTGGGATGTTATGATTAGCCAAATTTTCCTCTAAGGAGTATCTCAAATGGAGTAAGAGTTTTCAGAGAACCTGAATATAAAAACAAAACTAAGACAATATAAAAATAATTTAATCATCCTGAGTTGATTCAGAAGAAATCTCATAATCCCTTAGTGCTCTGATATTCTTTTCATTTTGAATATCACTGACCTCTGAGCAGAGAAAGCACCAAGATGAGAGTTCATAGGTGTGTCCAGTTTAATATCTAGCTCAGTTTTTCCCTGAGGGATCCTAACCCCACATCCTACAGATGACTCCCTGTCTGAGTTCTTGGGGCTTTAGAGAGTATTACTCCATCCTTTGAAATTCATCAGGTCCATCCCCTGTCTCTGTTTTCCAAAAACTGTATCCTGACCTTGCCAAGCCTTCCCCTCAACTCCTGACCAAGGAGGAAAGCTTATATTCAAGCTAGATATTCTAGGGAGGTCGGAAACAAGTCAAATGCAGAAATTCAAATATGGTAGCTCTATTACAATAGGGCTCTGCTGTGCTTTCCAAAAATATTCATCCCTAATGAATTCCATGAGGCTGTGTCCACAGGGATCTGCCCCTGGGTTCCCTTGATCCTATAACAGTGCTCCAGAAAGGTAATCCTGCAGTTACCTAGAACACTGCTGTCCCCTGAGCACACCTCTCCCCAACACACACACACACACACACACACACACACACATCCACCCCCAGTGTTCCACCAAAAAGTCCTACAGAGAATCCATGTGAAGATTGAGAAATTGAAACCATTCTTGCCAGAAAAAAATAAAAAATAAATAAGTAAGTAAAAATAATTATAACCCTTCTCAGTGAATATAACCCCACAGATTCTTGGCTTGGCAAGCAGAGGGCAAGAAACATACATTTGAGCTCCCACTAGCCCTCTTGATTGGATGTCTACAAAATGAACACAGCAGCACTAAAAGATTCCATAGTCAAAGAATTTTAGAAAATACTGCATCCATACTATTCGTGGCCTCTTGGAGGGTTAGAGCATACTCTGTTATATTACACACTCTGAGAAGGCCTGTATACCAAGAGCATTTATCAATGGAAAAAAAAACCTATCTTTTGTTTTTTTAATTGACTTATACTTCACCTAGCTTTCCCCAAAACCTATTTTCCAAAAGAAATCTTGCCTATTTTCTGGGACCCCACTGCCTGGAGGAAGCAGCCTTCAACTCTCATTAACTTAGATTCTATGGCAGGGGCAGCCATAAAAAGCAATAACTTCTGACAGATGCTACAGCATGCACGAACCTTGAAGACATCATGTTAAGTAAAAGAAGCCAGACACAAAGGGCCACATTTATATGAAATATCCAGACTAGGCAAATCCATAGATGCAAAATGGCAGATGTGGTTTGAGAAGCTGGGGTGAAGAGGAGGGAGGGAAGGAAATGGGGCAGTGACTCCTAATTGGCATGAGGTTTCTGTTTGGGGTCATAAAAACACTCTGGATTTGGACAGCGATAGTAGCGCAACATTGTGAATGTTCTTAATTCCACTGAATTAGACACTTTAAAACGGTAACTTTTGCAGGGATTCCCTACCATTTTTTTTTCTTTTAAAAAATCAAACCAGTTCTGAGAAAGCTCTGTGTGTCGTAGAGATGTGGGAAAGAGTTCATTGGGTCATCTCTTCAGCAGCTCAAGATTATTCCCCATACTTTCATGTTTCTTGGGCCAAATAACCACATCTCTGGTTTTAAGATGGAAATTCCTTTTAATTGTGCAGGCCAAAGCATACTGAGTATTTTCTTTCCTGTTTAGGTATGGTTCTATGACATATGACATACACACTACAGAATTTCTGTTGTGCTATCTCTAGCCTCCTAATGTATATGAACCTGAATGCGGTCACACCACGTATCTTGCTGCATTCTGGGAATCCCATTCCACAGGGTGGGCAGTTTCAAAACTGCACCAAATATGGAATAGTCCAAATACCATCCGGGCTGGTTGGGAAGGACAGTATGATATGAAAGCTTTCTTTCTCAGAATAAAATTGGAAGAAACCATAACTTTTATACTCCAGAAATAGCTTGTGGACAATATAAAACACTAATCAACTTTTTTAAGTCTTATCATGTATATATTAAAAGAATTAGATTTTTTTTTTAAGGTTGGCTATAAAGCCACCAGCAGGGGGAAGTATGCAGTGGGAAGTCTGGACCATCACTGGGGCCCCAAAATGTCTTGGGCTCCTCTGTAAACAGGGAGACTTCTTTTATGCCTTCAGTAGAGGGGAAAAAATAGCCCTATTGTGAGGCTGTGAGAGAAACAACCTTTAATCCTTGCAAAGCCCAATAATATTATGTATATTGACTGAAACCCCGTGGAGTGGGCCTGACGGGGTTTTTTCATTACCAGGGTACATTGTAACCTAGCTACCTTTGAAAAGTAACCAACATCGAGAGGCACTTGACATTTGCAAAGTATTACGGGTGTCCTCTCTATGTCTTCTCAAGTTCCCAAATTTACAATGGTCTTAATTTAAAAGTTAAGCCAGGGGATCAATTGCTTAGTGTAGGGCCAGGCTGCCCTTTTTAAAACAAAACAAAAAAATACCAAACCCCTGTGGGCCAGTGTGACCTGACTTCCTCATTCGGCTCAGGTTTGGGTGAGTCGCACACGTTGTCCTGTGTTTAATTTCGAAGGAAGGTGTCTGCACTCAAATCCGACGGTCATGTTCCACTCCTCCAGGTGTTGCCGCGACGCTCGAAGGCTGCAGCAGCTGGTAATGAGTTGGTGAAAATGAAAAAGGAACATAAGTAGCTTCTTTAGCAAATCCCCTGGAAATGACACGGAGCCCTGAGGATCGATACCATTGATCCACGGGAGGGCGAGAGCCCTGCTCCTTCTGACTCGCCTGCAACAGTCACAGCCCAGGGAAAACAGCAACATTATTACCGGCAAAACTGTGACCGAATCAACTGGGAAAATCAAACTCCAGCCTGCTTTCTGCTCCCTCTATTTGGGCAATGGCCATGGGTCAACATTAGAGCAAGGATCAGGCGGAAATCCCAGGGGAGAACTGAAGTGGGCCAGGGCCTTGGTTCCCAACATATCTTTATGACCTTCAATGATATTTGCACCACTGACTCCTCCTGAAACCCAGGTCATTGTGTAAACCAAGCCTCCCGAACTAGGAAACTGGGGAATTTGAGCACTTTTTTGAAAGCACTCAGATAATATTAGAACCTGTGGTGGTTAAATGGTCTATAAGGGTTTCCTATCAAAATCAGGCAGGCCATAATCATTACTACGTAAGTCCAACCTGTTTACCGTAGTCTAGTGTTGAGGCTCCAAAGATGAACAGGCTGACTCTTGACTCTGGAGTCCATAGGCTTTTGAGGGAGTCAGATCTCACAAGAGACATATCCAATATAAGAAGTTCTGATGCGGTAGATCACCAGCACGCTCTGGAAACCCACAGAAGGGAAATCGATTCAGTTGAGGAAGTTTTTGCAGAGAAACTGACCCTTAAGCTAGAGATGGGTTGGTAGGAACCTTGAATTATATGGTAAAGAGTTAGGATTTGTCCCAAAAGTAGCCAGAAACTATACAGCAAGGGACAAACAATTCCATGGCAGTTTAGGAAAGATAATTGAGGTAGCAAGTGCATCAGTCAGCAGTTGCCACAATAATGCTGCATAACAAACTTTCCCCAAACTGAGTATCTTAAAACAGCAAGCATTTCTTTTCCCCTGTGTGTCTTTAGACCTGCTTTGGCTCTACTGTACTCAGCTGGGATCAGGTGAGCTAGACTCCAGATTGCAAGATGGATTCAAGTCAACTGTACGCTCATCCTTCTCAGACCAGTCACTATACAAGTATAAGCACAGACAGAAAGATGCTTTGCCTCTTGAGGTCTCAGTCTAGAACCAGCCAACACACGGACACACACACACACACACACACACACACACGTTGCATTAACCACACCAAGTCACACAGCTGAGCCACACACCAATGCAATGAGGAAAGTCTCTGTCCCTCTAATGGGAAGAACCACAAAATCACAAGACAAAAGCTGTGGATGTATAATTCTCAGACACAGCGGGCATGAAGAATTGCGAACAGTGATTCATTCCACCACACCAGGGAGAGGACAAGCTGGGGGTGGAGAAACCGCAGGCGGCTTATGATATGTAGAGTCTGCGTCCGTGTAAAACAGAAGGAAACAATCCATTGAGCAAGCCCGAGAACTCTTCTGAAACTGCAGGGTCCAGGCAAGTTGGCCTCACTCACATATTTAGAAGGGAGAAAACTGCAGCTAGAACATTATTAAATGGCTGGTTGAAACATTTAGGAATTCCCGGTTGAATTATAGCCTTGGCAGCAGCTGCCTTCCAGACCCATCTGGTTTGAATTGGCAAAAGTGCAGCTGTGCTTGTTGGTATGGGTGAGCCTCGCCTTTGAGGAACGGGCCTGCATGGAAGGGGTGGAGAAAGGATGGAACTGTTGTCATGAAAAAAAAAAATGGGTAGAGAACAAAACAGAGCTACTGCCTTTATGCCTTGCCACACAGGAGCGGGCCTGTGGTTCTGGGCTGGAGGACAGCTTTGGGTAGGATTCCTGGGTCCCCTCTGCTACTCTTGAGCTGTCATACCCAGTAGATGCTGTCACATCACATACTTGGGTTATGAATTGATTGTTTCACTTTTATGGGGCTGGCATAATTAGTTTCACATTTTTAATTTATAGCATCGGCTAAGCTTTTTAATCCGTTATTTATGGCAAAGAACTAAGAACTAAATTGCCTCTCCTGCCCCCTCAACAGAAAAAACGCCTCACTTCCATAGACTGTGATCAGTTGCTTAGCTGAGCCTGTGGCCTTCTTCAAGGAAAACTTTTCTCACAGAGGAGTTGCTGTGGGTCCTTTGGATTTCCTCCTCTGTGGATCCTGGAGGGGAAAAAAAAATTAAAAAGACTGAAACATTTGAATGGAGTGATGTTTCTCTGAAGCCATGAGCTGCTGTAGGAGAAAGTGAAGCCGGCAGGGATGAGAAATTCATGCCAGAAAATTTCCATTTAAAGAACGGCTTTGTGCGTGCTGTCTGTGGTACTCGGGTGTATCATTATTTTCTGGAAACAACTAAGGGATCTTTAGCACATAAGAAGCAAGCTCCAAGAGCTGGGATACGTGCACATAGGTCTGAGCCTGAGCCAAAGGGTCTTGGAGGTTGGATGAGTCCAAGGGCAAAGCAGAGTTGCAGACTCCAAGAGCATCCTGATAGGCATCTAGGATATTTCACAAAGGGCTCTGGTGCATCCAGTTTGGCCTGGGAGGACATCTGGGAGGATTTGGGGACTTTTCCTCCTTTGCATTGAGGGCCACACCATAAGTCACTGAAAAAATCGCAATTGCCTGGGTAAGTCTGGGAAGTAGGATGCCTCGCACCTCTCACTAGCACTGAGATGGTATGAGGTCAGGATGGACTGCATCCAGCCTGGTAGCCCAGCAGCAGCTGAGCTGCAACAGTTGCAACTTCAATCCCAACTTTGATCCTTCACCGGAGGAGCCCATCTGAGCTGGAGTGTTGAAGGGTTAAAGATGAAGCCTTAGGCAGCACAGGAGCAGTTCCTACAGGACAAAGGGGATACTGATCCTGAGCCGGGGTCCTGCCCCTAACCGTGCCCCCATCCAGGCTGAGGGGTCTGTGTTTACTGAATGTTAAATAAATACCAATTGAGTCGTATGTTTAATGAGGTGTATCAAACATGTAATAAGATACATATCTATTAAACAGTTGTGAAATCTCGGTAATACGTTCTTAATAATAAAGGGTACAGATGGCTTACAGATTGGACCAAAGAACAAAGACTACAGGAGCTTATGGAAGGAATAGAAGAGCCATCTTCTGAAAGCTGAGAAGACAGCGGATTTTCCTCCAGAATTTGATACATGTATCTGCACTCAACCAGAGCAAAAATAGGACCCAGGCCCATCAAGGAGAGACTATAAACTTCAAAACCTAAAGATGAGGAGAAATAGCAACTCCAATGAAAGACAGAAAAATGGTTTAAAAACGTCAATGTTTTAAATACACCTTCAGGTTTTAGCAGTACGTAGTTCTCAATATCACACACATTTACCCCTTGAGTGTCCCCAAACTACAGAGATTTCGCCAAGTATCAGAAAACAAAAGAGTCACATGATATGTAGGTGCAGATTATTAACTTGTTTTTCTGTCTCTAAAAAGTGGTGATTATCATATTATATTGCAATATGCTATTGAAGTTACCTCAGAAAACTACTATTGAAAACTGATCTCTTTCTCCTTGCACATGTAGGTCAAGCTCAGAGTCTGGTTAGGTGTGATTGTTTGCTAAGTAATTAATGCTTAGATTTCAGGGGGGAAAATGAGGGGGGAAGCAAAATTTGTGGTAGCCGGGTGTCTTAAAGAAAAATCCAAGAAAAGCACAAAGCTCAGGATTGTGCTTCCCAACCTTTCTCAAATCCTGGCACACAACAGAATGACCCTCTTTGTTCATCACACTGGAATAATGGAAGGCTGTGTGCTTTCAGCCCAGGGCCTCTGATCCCTCAGGCCCATCTTGAAGGCAGAAGAATCCCTCTCTCAGCACACAGTTTGGGGAACCATGTCCCATCCCAGAGAGACTGGGAGCTGTGGGAACTCATCATGTTCCATTTCTCAGATCAGAAACCAGCCCAGCTTTGAAATGGTCAAAAAAGTAAGCGGATAGTAATAATTAACATTTTTATTACTTCCTGGGTACCTGACATTGTTCTAAGTGTTTGCATGTATTAACTTATTTAAACAACATAATAACTATGAAGTAGATATGATCTTTACCTCCACTTAAGAAATGAGGAAATTAAGGAGCATAAAAACAAAGTCATTGACCCGAGATCTCCAGCTGGTAGATGGGGTCTTTGAGATTTAAAGTCAGCCGACCTGGCTGCCAAGGGGATATTTGTAACTCCTACTCTACATTAATACTCTACAAGGATTTTACAGTTGGGAGTCACCAAAAAAAAAAAAGCCATTTTTACAGCATTATTAAGGTAAACACCAGAAGCAGCTCATAGCTTCGTCAACAGGCATACCAATGGGGGACAGATCAGCAGTTACTAAGAGAAACTCCATTTTGCCACGTACCTGTCACTTGGTCACATTCTACCACGGTGCCAGGGTGTACCCTTTCTGCCGTGCCTGTCTAGGATGTTCACAGTAGGCCTGTTTATCATAGCAAAATAATGTCTTACAAGGGGCTCCGGATAAACTATATACATGATAGAAATGGATAAAGTCTATACACTAGCTCCCTAGGCAGCCTTTAAAAAGTATGACGTTAAGGTATATTCATGGGCATGGAAAGGTGCTCATAATATAATGTATAAAGAAGATTCAAGTGACAAAACAACACATAGATTTTTCTGATCTCATTTTCATTTAAAAAGAAGAGAAAAAAATAAATACGGTATGCATAGAAATAACAGCCTTATGGAATGGTCGTCAAATGTTTACAGCAGTAATCTCAGGATAAGGGAATTATTGGTGCTTGGCTTTTCTTTTTGTTTATCTGTTTTCTCTATAACTTTTCTCTAATGAGCATGACTTCTATAATAAAGGTAACCTGAAACTTTAGAAAGAGAGAGAAAGGGAGCGAGAAGTCACCTGCCAAATTCGTACAGGAGGATTATGAATGTTCAGAGTCCATTTTAGTCTAAACATAGTTTTGCCAGACTGGTGATTTAACACCTTTCATTGTCATTGTTCTCAGCAGCAGACTTCTTTCCATAATAAAATCTTACCTGTAGCCTCAATATGTAGAAACAGATCAAAGAAGACTGTCCTGATAGAACGTGTCGCCCCCACCCCATCCACTTGCTGTCCCCCTCCCATACATCCCCAAGGCTCCTGGGTCACAGAACACTTCCCTGTAGCACCTACAGGAGAATCACACCACCCCCAAAAAAAGCATGCTTGGAGGGATTAAATGTATTTAAATAAAATTATTATAACAGAAATATTAGAAAACTCAATTGTAAAAGAAAACGGTTCCTTGGGGATTTAAATGTGAGCTCATAGGCTCTTGCCAGGTGCTGCTCTTGGGGTGCTCCCTGGGGCGGAGCATGCCGCCTCCATCACTCATACAGGCAAACGTCCCTCTTTGATTTCTGCTCATTTTTACGTCGTCCTTACATTTTGCATTTAAATAAAAAAGTATAAATTTCTCTTAGCTGATAACTAGGGTATATAACCATTTAATACCCACTCTTCAGTGTCACTGGGCATCGACTTCAAGAAAAGTCCAGAAAACTAGTGCCCAGAAACCCTACTTTTGCACACTTTGCTCCAGCTTGCTCTCATGAGGTTTTTTTTTTCCCCCCTCTCCCTCTGAGAGGCAACTAAGCTGAAACTGGTAGAAAATGATTTCAAAGAAAAAAAAA